GGCGAAGGAGCTCGAGCTGCTGTCTTGTCCATTTACCTTTGACTCGATGAAAGCTCCAGACGAACTTCGACCGAAACCGATCGACTTACAGTGCGATTTACCTCACGAGGAAAAGTTCAACTCAGGTATAACTCATCCCCCGAATGAAACGAAATTCTCTAACTTGCGAGAACGTGCCAAGACGATGCTGGTGCTCTTCGGTTCCACTTATGTTCGCGAGCAAACGTTCTCGTCGAAAAGTAACAAATCAAAGTTGAGGATAAAAATGACTGGCCAACATTTGAGTGCAGTGCTGCAAAAATGACACCTGACGTCGAAAAACTCATTATAAAAAAACTGTGGAGATGTTAATAAGTTTAATTTATTTTTAATTTCGAGTGTTCGGTGCTTCTGTGGCCCGCATGTTAAAAAGTTTGCCCACCCCTGCTCTAGTTACACTCTCTATGGTCGAGGCGGCCTCCGTAGAGGCGGCAGCGGGACCTCCCGCTTTCACCGCGGGACCTCCGAATCCTTGTAATTCCCTACCAACGCGCGTCCCGCAGAAATTCGGTTACATCGGCTAGATGGGCACCTCTATCGAAGCTTAAGACTCCGGGCCCGTCGCGGAGGGATCACGTGAACCAGAAAACGAAAAATGCGTTTTCCATCGTTGATTCGAATGATATCCGGCAGGAACTTACACAAAACTGCAAAATGGAACAGAAATGGACTTCGGTTATCGCCACAAATCATGCACAAATACTGTGGTTTCCAAAAGATAAGGAACACATTGAAAATCCGTGATATGACGAACACCATGTGAATGTTGTGGATAAACTGGCCATAACTGTGTTGTTGGATGTCTGCCGCACGATCCCCGCAAACGACTGCGATCCGGAAGGCGCAATATCCATTGCTGCACATCCATGACGTCACAGGGGTCCAAAGCACTGAGATAGAGGTCTCTACCTCAGGGGTCCAAAGCGACGCCCGGAAAGGAATGTCCTACGTGGGTCAATAAGGTGTGTGGCCAACACTGACAGCGATGCACTTGAACTGCACTACCCCCTCTCGGAGCGCCGTCTTTTAAAGACATGTGATTTGCATATCGGTGAGCGATCTCCGCCACGTTGCATGTGCTATGGCAACTAGCATTGCTAATTTACATACTCCTGTATGTTTCGACCATTTTCATAACGGGGTGTTGCGGAACTTGGGAAAATCAATTTGTTCCTTGGATTTTGGAAACCAGTGTACTAAAGCAGCTAATCAAACCTTTCATCATTATAACAAATTTGAATCAATTTAGTCCAGTTGAGGTTCATCCACAGTCGTTTCGATCGATCGCAACGGTGACAGGATCGAAACTGATAATTTGGCATCCCTATCGCGGAAACTTCGACGGGGAGTCGCAGTCTTTGCCAGATTGCAGGCCTGTCTCCGCTCTAACGAGGAATTTCCAAATCTCTCCTTGACGATGGTGGAACCGTCTGGTGTGCTTGGGGACTTCGGTTTCCTCGCGTTTTTCTTCGAAACAGACTCGTGGTAAACGCGGAGATCATCTTGTAATCGTGGAAGTGTGAACATTTTGAAAAAGAAAATTTTAAATGCATTTTTCCCCACTCGATGCGCAGGGATCAAAACCATCCTTGCATGGGGAAAAATCAGATTTCAAATTAACGCCACCTCGCATCCTCTCGAGACAGCGAAGAAAAAAAAAACGGAATTTGCACAAATTTGAAAACTGTACTTTCCTCTTTCCCTCCTTCCGCAGGATATCAAGCAATTCCTTTCCGTTGGAGTCAATTAAGACCGCCGATTTCGTCAATTGGTTCGATTCGAGTTCGAATCGAGATTAAAAAAAAAAGGTAATTATGAGATTTCAGATCTAACCCTGAAAAAATGACATTTTGAAGGCAGTCACCCTTCTCACCCTTCGTCCAAAAATAAAAGATTATTTGAGGGGAAAAAAGTGCACAAGAAATAACGAAACGCGCTCTGAAGCGACGGCCTCAAGAAGGAAAACCCTCTCACCAAGTGGTTAAAACCCTTTCAGTCCTAGCGGGACTCAGGAGTCTCGCATTTTCTTCGCATGTGTTATAGGAATGCCCGATCTTGAGGCCATGGCGGGATTCCGAATCCTTCTTTATAATAGTTCACCACGTGTTTTCAAGTTGACAGTAGTCTACAGCAATAAAAAGTTGCCGTATTTCCTCTGGCACTTCAAAAATTGTCATCGTCTATATTTATTCGGGCTGTCACGATAGATCGATGCATCGATACCACTATTGATGGTTGGAGGTATCGATTGTTTTTTTTCAACCATCGCGATGTACTGGCAAATGATTTTAAAGGGGAAATGTCCCATTGGATCGAGGCGAGTACAGTACAGTCAGTCCGGTCGGGGAAAGGAGGAGGCGGCGTGACTCGCATGGGCGAGCTATTTCGATCAAATTCTGGAAATGCTTGGGCTGACTGTATGAAAGACGGGAAGGGAAAAAAATACATGTTGGATCTGAGACGGGAAATGGGAAAGGAGAGGGAGGGAAGACCGAAAATATTTTTTTTCACTTCAGTCTTCGGCTCGATCTCATCATGTGCATGATGCGAAATGAACTGTTCTTATACTCCCCTGACCTCGAAACGTATTAATACATTCGTTGTTCCCCCTCTCTATATTTCTGTCTTTCTCTTTAGTATGCAGGCTTACGTTTTTTCATTTTTAACTTGCCCCGGGGCATTTTACCTCTTTACTTAAGGTGAACCCAAAGTGAATTTTTTACACGGACGTTGCTTATTCTAGGGCTGTACCGATGTTTTGGCAACCGCCGGTATGGCACCATCGGCAGGTTTCTTATCTGCCGGTGCCGATTTCCAAAGAAGACCGTGTAGAACGAAGAAATAGAGACAAAAAAATTACGTGAATGGGCTTGACAACTGATTCTCAATGGCAATTAGAAAAAATTAAGGTTGTCCTGATGCATCCATCGATGAATGGATGTCATCTTCGATACTTGGAGGCATGGTAGGTTTCATTACTCCCTGCAAAGGTCATACCTTTATGCGCACACACCGATCACAAGCGTGAGGTTATGGAAGACGGATAGAGGTCTGCGCTCCGATCGCGACGAGAAAAGCTTGAATCCTTCAGCGCATCCCCCTCCCCCTCGATGCATCGATACACTATCGATAGTTGAGGTCGATGCATCGATGTTTTGAAAACTGCCATCGTAACAGCCCTAATATTTATTTCTAAAGCATTTCTTTCCCAGCCAATTTTTTCTGCGTTTTTGCAAGCTAGATAATGGAATGTAGTACAGAAATCCTGGGAAACATACGAGGTAAAATACGGATATGAGTACTACTTGAACTAATTAAATAGCTTGATTTTATTAATTTATTTAATTTATAGTTCTATAACTTAAAATTTACATAAGTTAAAAGCACTTTTATATTACACATGCCTTGCTGAAGCCCTAAAATTATGACATTTTTCCCATGCCTAGAACATAATTCAGGACTGAAAGCGTAAACCGAGCGGTTACTGCAGAGCCGCGACGCATGCAGGAGAAGCGGGTCGGCCTGAAAAAAAGGCTCTCTGATGTTTGACATGGTCTGGACGCAGCAAGATCCAACTTTCGAAATTTTTCAAAGGTAAACTTCTGTCTGAAAATTATTTCAAAGTCAAAGGTATGGAGATGAACAAACTCACACGCACAAAGGAATGGGCGTTAAGGAATCCAACTATCGCTGATGAGACAAAAAGGATAATTTCGCCTTTCAAGCGCTGTGAAAGAAATTTCCACGTTAATTTCAATTGTTTCAGGGAGAAAACCTGATAGCCCCACTTTCCTTGATCTTGACAGAGTCGACCGATTCTCTCTGGGCTTTTCCTCTTTCACCTCTCTTTAAATCTGAATGATTCCTATTTCCGAAAAGGATCCAAGCGATGAAGGCAGTGAGGGAACTGGGCATGTGGCGAAGACGAACGGCCGTGCTCATGAATGCTACGTGAACTGAATGCACGTGCCAGTACTTGGTGAAGGGTGGGGTCCCTCGTACGACCGGCTATCTCGCTTGTCCATCTGCTTGCTTTAATCCGGACACGGCAGGATTTCTTCATATGTGGCTGCGGTCAGTGAATTCCTCCACGCCAGGACGTTTCTTCTTTACGCAATCTGGACGCGTCCGGATTTTGGCACGCTTAAAAAACACCGTCAAAAGTCGTAAAAGTCGCTGTGGAATTTCATTTTGTTTCAAGTCCAATTCCAGGGTCTCATTTCTCAGAACTCTTCGTGTCAAGTATTGTCAAATTAAGATCACTGAGTGTATTTTTTAATGCAAATTAAGGAAATTTTCTCTCGTGTGTTTTACTTCATTCTCGAAGAGGAAAAGGATCCTGAATTTCAAATACTCTTCTATTTATTGGTAAAATCTTACCGACAATGAAGGGGAGTTACAGGGCTTTATCTACTTTCGAACGGATTATCAGTTGAACGGATTATAAATCACGTCGACGGCTAGGAACTCATGGATAGATTCGGCCATATCCTTTTTGGCGACGGGAAATTAATACCTCCTGAGGCCAAACCTTAGGTCCTTAAAGTGTTCTACTCTGGTTTCCGTTCTAACCGCATTCCTAAACAGAAATGATCTGACCGTGTTGAAAGAGGGATTTTCTTCAATTCCAGGGCCCGTTCCTCGCCTGTGCTAGACTTAAATCTAAATCTAAGTCTTAGTCTAAAGGGTCAGGGCGAAGAATAAACTTTTTTGCTTTTAGGCTGCTTTTAGACTGCTTTTAGATTTAGATTTAGATTTAAGTTAAGCACAGGCGAGGAACAGGCCCCAGATCTCGTGCTTTTCCCTGTCCTTGTTTCTATATCATGAGTTTATTATTATTTAAATAATCATTTAAGCTCGGAAAAGCATATGAGACAAGCATACTGAAAATCCATTCTCTTTTATCGTTCTGTCATTCTCAAAGATCACAATTTGGTCAGTGTTGTCAGAAAAATGAAGACTCAGTTTGTCACTCGAGAAGCGAGAAAAGCCAGCGAAGAGACAAGGACGAGCCCTCCGACACTTCCATGGGTCGCACCAGACGCGTCCTCCTCATGGCGGCCCCAGCCCTTCCGATCCGGTTCCTCCATTACACAATACACTCCCTCTGTGGGAAAAAAAATTGCATTCGTGTCATGATTTGCAAAATTTTAGATTTGGAATGAGCATCTTCAGACTCGACTTCGCAAAGCCATTGAAGTACGGAAGTTCGGCTCACTTTCCTCGGACGAGCCAATGACTCGAGCGAAGTCGCGTCACAAAATTAGCTCGATTAATTGCATTATTTTGAATGAGAGGATAAAATGAAAGATCGAGTATCCTGTCGTGGCTTTGAGCCAGGCTTTCAGCCAAAATTACAAGGGAGAAATCGGTAGCGTGGAATGAATCGCCGTCATCCTCATTAGAAAGCTCATTTCCGGCGGGATTAAATCCCAGAACATCAACGGTCGAGACTCGCGATCCTCATCGCATCATCAGCTTCGGGAGCATCGAAACTATTCATCCGAAGATGGTCAAGGCCTGGGATAACATCATGAGATCGGGGATCCTCCCTCTTCCGCGGCGGCTGATGAAGGCGCAGAGCCACAACGTCAAGGATCCACCTCTCGTTATTTAACGATTCGGTCCTCATCCATCAATCGGTGTCAAGTACTCATTGCCTCCTCACCTGCAACGTCATCCTCCCCGCTTTCACAACAACTCGACGACCTCACTCGAAAACGAACCCGTGACATCGCATTAACATGCAAACGAGATGGGAAAGATCCATACCCGGCTTCCACCCGATAAAGACGTCGTGTTTCTTGTTGTCTTCCGTGAGCCAGTCCTCCAGCGGCTGGAAATACTCCCTGAGGGCGGATGCATCCATTTTGGGGTTCCCCCCCGTGATGGCAGCCATCGCTTCTCCCCACGGCCTCGATGCACCCAGCCTCAGCATTGCCCTGTGGTCACATCCATCGACCTTTAGTACATCTCACAGCGGGGCGAAAAACATTCATCGAAACGAGAAGTCGTAACAAATCTATAATAGGGCGAAGAGGAAGATATTTAGGAAGGATAATAATTTCGTCCCTCCTGTAATTGGTGACCGTGAGAAAAAAAACCCATGGGAACCCCATTGTGCGGCTGGGAATTCATGGATATTGATTTTCTATCGGTACTTAATTGAGAATTTTCATATGAAATCTCTGACCGGTCGAAAATTATCGGTGGACGCTGCATTTCCATGTCTTAATTTAAAACCCTCCAAAAAAAATTGCATGCCACAAGTCCTCCCCACGAAATGAATGGCCTTCCGAGAGTCATTATAGCACGCTCGAAACGAAAGGAAGTCGTCTATTTTTCCCAAACAGAATGCACTTCTCGCATGGGTTTTGCATATCATCGTGAATACCGTTCTCGGAGATATTTAAATGTTGTCGTAATCTGCGAATGGCTTTTTCCTCTTGAAAAGAGGAAATGCCGAAGGGGCGTCACCTCCGAAGTTTTGCTTTCTTTTCTGAAAAACATTTGAGCAAGTGCATTGACATCGGGCGACAAGCACCCCTTTTAATAAGTCCTAATTTCGGAATGCCCCCTCACCTCTCCTCCTCCCCCCTCCGTCATGGGAATCGGTTTATCTCAGACGACCTCTTTCTCATAGAAGCTCATTAAGAAATGAGATGAGTTTCAGGATAAAACGGAACTTGTCAACCCCAGCAACTAATGGGTGACACACACCAGATCTGTTTAACTTAAACGAATCCGATTTCACAATGGTCTCCAATGGGAATAGCTTTAACGGAGATAATATTATTCCCGTAGATGCCATTACGAAACCGTATCAGTTTATAATGAAACGGATCTGGTGCATATCACCCTTTGTCTCATGCCTAGCTCGTCACATGAGATATACAACCAAAACCCGCACGGGTCGCAGGACAAGCTTCAAGTCTCCGACCGAAATTAACGAAGAAAGGCAAAAAATAAACTCCAGGGGAAAAACATTCCCCGGAGCGCAATTCCTTTTTCTGTCCCACGGTTCCAGTTTCCGGAAATGATTCCCATCAGAAAGAGACGTGCTTCACTCCAAGGGTGACGTCAGCTAGACCGAAAGTCATCTAACTTCACAATGGAAATAGGTTTACCGGGGATAATATCCCCCATAGAAGAACGATAAGCGAATATAAACTGTCGTCTAGGCCTCGAAGATCGGCTACCACCAAAATCAAGAGCATCTCGCACAATCATCGTTAATGAGCTACAGCTTCCCCTCCTCCCAATCCCCACCCCCTCCCCCCCAACTTGTCAACAGGGATGCAGAAGACAGCACTGACTTGAGAAGATTTCCGGCTTCCTTGCTCTGATAGATATCGCATCGGTGGAGGGGCTTTTCCCCGGGATTCTTCGGATCGTATTCCCCTGCTGCTGCGCACAGGGCTCGGTGGAATTGAAACTGGATGATGAAACTCACGAAATACCTGAAATAGTCGCACAACACACAATTGCGATCAAGCGATAGGTATATTCTTTTTTTTTTATTTAAAATTAATTTAAAATAGCTTTCATGTCGATTTCCAGATTTTTTTTTATTGAGAAGTGACAGTAAAGTGAATCAGACAACCTTAAATTAATAGACAAATTAAAAGGGATATGAATTGGATTAGATAGAAAAGTATAAAATTGGTCAATTAAAAGCCATAATTAACAGACAAATTGCTCCGTAAAACGATTTCAATGCAGTTTCTTCTATAATAAAAAAGTGTTTGCCTCTGCTGACAGATGGGCACAAGGGTAGTCATCAGAATAGAAAATATTTCGACTTGATCGAATGGCAAGTTGGTTTCCACTTTTAGAATTAATGAGAACAATATTCGTCGATGTCGATACTAGTGAGGAGAGCATTTTCAATCTCAAGTACGTACTCGAATACAAAATTCTTCATCGCTAAGCATCGCAGCACGAGTCCTTATGTTGATTTACTAAGTAAATATTTGCGTTCTTTTCCCTTCTACCCGAGTACCACAAGTGCCTGAAGTACAAAGGCCTACTGATCCCCCAGTTGATTAGTTATAATTCATTGCTGCGAACGATTACTCAGGCATCTAAATATTCCACTTCCGCCAACGGACTTTTCTTCGAAGGAAAGTCCGTTGAAGGGAGAAGAATTGGGCATTCATATTTTATCTTTCACAATCCCGCTCGTGCCTCTGCGGCCTTCGACCCGCCTCGTGGCCACATACCGCTCAAGCAATAAGCAACGTACGTTTTGGCACGGTTGCTGATGAAATGAGTTCTGTGCAAGGTAAATCGACACAACCATGACTCAGCGACTCAGCCGTGCCAAAGCAGGCTGTCTCGCTAGATTAGCATACTCTGGCTTGCTAAACTATGTTAATCTGGCTGACATTGGAAGCGAAAGCCAGATCGTTCGGGCACCCAAGCTCGGAAACGCGCCTTAGCGAACGACAAGCAGAAGAGAACGAAGCCTCCATCAATTCATCCTAATCCACAGCATCCTCACTTCACTGAAAGAATGCCCCTGCTTACCTGATGTAAGGGACATTGGCAGGGATGTGATACTTGGCTCCAGGATCGAAATCCCCTTCGCTTCGGATGTTAGGAGGCTTCACTCCCTGCACCTGCGTCCTAAAACAATAGAAATAAATTAAACGAGAGTTTTCAAATTCATATTCAAGCTCCTATGATTCCTTCATAATTCAGTTTCGAAAAATAATAAATTTGCATTTACTATTAATAGAAATTTCTCCATCTCCTTGAGTGGGGAAAATCAAATCTGGCTGAGTAATACAAATAGTTTTTTTTTTAACACGGTTTTTAAACCGTGTGTCTTACTGGCAATAATTCATTCCACTTTATTTTTTGTCCGCACAGGATCATCCCAATCTTCAAAGGAAGCTCCAATAGTGACACCACGGCGACTGCAGAGTCGACTGCGTCGAAATCCTTGAGCCCAGACAGCAAAAACGCGACAAGGGACGTTAGTGACCTCGTGCTACTTTCAGCTCTCTTTTCCACATCCGTTCGATTCTTTATCGCAGGATATTTTCCCTTCAATATTTTTTTCTCCGAATAAGACTCGACGACTCCGCCAGGCGGAAGTAATCCATGAAAGCCAGGGAGGAAAAGACCAATTTCAATGCGATATATGTTTTTTTTTTTACCAATGCCAATCTTTTGGCGGGAAGCACTTGCTCGCCTTGGTTCCATTTTGCAAATATGCATTGAAGGTTTCGTTGCCGGTTAGCGACTTTTGGCGCGTGCGTTGGGAAGACCCATTTTCAGCATACAGGGCCTTCGGGACTAATCCTTGAACTCTCGAAAGGCACACCCTAACGTGAGCCGAGTCAATTAGAACCAGTACCTCATTTCCCAAATACAGTTTCGGTAAATCCAAAGACACTGCAGCTAGGAAGTGGGCGTGAATCACACGGAAGACAAGAAGTACCAGAAAAACAAGAAGCCTGAATGGAGGCATCTAGAGGCTCCTCCTAGGTGAAAGTGCATACAGAATGCCTCTATAGAAATTCTGTAGCGGCATCCTCCTGAACACTTTCTCCTGGGCTGTCGTCCCTGAACATTTTTCTTGGGCGAGTCCCCGAACCTTCATCACTGTATTGGCTCTGGTGAACATCAATCACAATCAGATTAATACTACAACCCAAGTGTCTCAAGCATGAACCTATGGGGTAGGAATATTTAAAAACCGTTTGGAAACTCGTTTCCTGCTCATGTCCGACCTGAGTCTCTAGCAACGGACAGAGAGTCTTAAGCAGAGGTTGAAGGGAGCAGAAGACGAAAGGAACATAAGTTTCCACCACTCGCTGTTGTAGTGGCTAGAGAGGGATGACCAATAATGGCATTCAAGACAATGGGTCCTGGGTTATGATGGGCATGCATGGAGCTACTCTGGCATCTAACGTATCCTGTTCTCCCTACACACTCAATCTGAACCAAGTCCCAGAAACTTCTTTCTATGGAGTCATTTGGTCGTATCAGTCCCCATAGCACAGCATATTGATTGCCAGTTTCCATCCAGTGACCAGGTCTGGGTGAATAACTCGTATAGCTAAAAATGTTTTAAGCTTGGGTCTGTGTGTGAGAATATTCTTAAATTGATCGAAAAATGATTCCGTGCACGTCCTACCTTGGTGAACAGTTTGACAAGGTTCCTCCCTCTCAAGGTCTTAAATCAATTAAGAATAGAGAGACAAAAAATAGCGAACCTGAGATTCCACCACTCGCAGTTGTAGTGGTTGGAGGAGATATTGCCCCGGAAGACATTCCACCTCCACACATCGATGAGGTATCCGAAAGGGAGAAAGGCCACCTTGGACAAGGCCTGAGACATGAGGAAGTTCAGGTCCGCTTCCGTGTCATTCTCCTGTGCAGATTCCGGCAGGAGCCCAATCTTGGCCATGTGCTTCGGGGTCGCCACCGACAGAGCCAGCACGTCCCCGACCGCCTCGTGGAAACCTCCACACAAGGTCAAAGAAGGTTACAGTCGAGGGCGATCCTCGTCATATCCCAAGCAATTCCCAGAAATCTAATCCCTCGCCCACTACTCTCTTTTCGGTCGATCGATTATCTGTTACATAGAATGACAGTGAATAGAGTAACGTATTGATGCGTTGTTCATAATTGTTTATCTACTTATTTGAACAAAGTCTACACTTTAATTCAATCATATTTATGCCAAGTGTTTAAATTTTGTTGAAACTTAATCTTTCTTCAGCTTCACGGCATTCGCTAGCATATCATCTATGGCTGCCAATCAGGACTCAGTTTTAATAGAAATACAATTTATGGAATGTAAATCGCCCTCAAATCTCCATTTAAAAAGCTACTTTTCTCTTAAATGTCACTGCTTAGTGCACTGAGCAAGTGAGGCCAAACTAGAATCCAGTGATTAACCAGTGATTAATAAATTATGACTGGCAGGAGGCAGTTGTTTTTGCACTCCTTTCTCACGCTGATCTCTGCGTTCAGCGATAAAATACATGCGGTATTTTGTTAAACATGAAAATACATACGGAACAAAGGCAGCGCTCCCAGTTTCATGCGAAAAGAAGAGATGGCCTTGTAAAAAGAGGGGAAATAAAGTATTAGCACCAGTTCAATTCCGAGCTGGACTGCTGTCCTGCACGGCCACGTGCGGTAAAGCGGATACACCTGAATGAAACGATCTGTAGAATTGGAATATTATGAGGACATGAGCAGGGAAAAGTCCATGCTGCAGGCTTTCGTATCTCAATACGCTGCAAGCTATTTCACATCGGTTCGGAAAAAAAAAATTAAGAAACAGTGGTCGCTAAGCTATTATGGGACTGATGAAGAAAGATATGGTTGAGTTGCCAAGAACCGACAAACAGGAGATGGTGGCACTTATGCAAATTGCAGTTACATGACCATTATGAGTGATCGGGGTGAGACCTCGTCCAAAGACCAGGGGAAAGAAAGGAGAAAGGAAAGGAAGGAGACCGAAAGAAAGATGATGGGAAGAAAGGCAATACCGGTACGTAAGAAGATTCCCTTCCCCTTCCTCTACGTACAGTACTACATCCAGGTAGCTTTCCCCCTCCTCCCTCCCCGGCCGTCGCCGGTAAGAAGGAACTTGAAATGGTCTCGAAATTGTCTCATAATGAACTGGAAGTGATCTTTCACTCACCACATTCAGGGAGGGAAATAAAATTTGACTACTCGATTGAATTATCTACGATTAATCAAGCCCGTTAATAGATGGGCAGCCACAGGTTATACCATCGCAACTATTAAATTAACCCAACAAGAAGTATGACAATTATATTTTTTAACGAATTTCACTGCCAACTGACCTGATGGACGATGCTCGACCATCCCAGAAAAAAAGGAAGCTAACAGGCCTTGGAATCCAGATTCTAAAATGTTTGTTATTTCTCTTGATGATAACTCATGAGATATGCATTTTTAACTTTCTCTGGTTTCTGGCCAAATGTGATGCCCTCAGGGCATATTCATTACTCTGGAAATAATACTGTTAAAAACGTGTGTCATGGCTCCTGAAAATTTTAAAACTTAATTTTTAAAAATCGAGCAAGTTTTGACAATTTCATGATCCCTGAACGATTTGTGAGTGAACTACTTTTGTGACATTCGGCCCGTTTCCCCCCTGACCTCAATTGAAAAGGCGTCCAAAGGTCGTCTTGGTAACAAACTTCATCCAAGGAAAGGCTTCGAAAGAGTTAGCACTTTTTATCGTTGCGAGCGGCAGTCTTGGCTCCATGCCAATCATTGACATATTGGCCCACTGCTCGAGACAATGGTCCCGTTCAAGGAAAATGAGTTCCCCTAATTCCCCTAGAGTGACGCAGCAAATAAGATACAAATGACACGGCAAACATAAATGTAGATTCAATGAGAGAAGCGGAAACTGCTGCCGCAACGAACCGAGCCATCGAATCGTAAAAGTCCATCACCATCGTCCCTTTTCGGTGCGGTGCAAAGTTCCCCGAAAGTGATGAGTAATCAATCCATCACTCTAGGAAAATATAACCTTGCAAATAATACGTTCTTAATTAGGTTCGCAAAACTCGATACCCATAAGTTTTCCAGATTTTCCCATCATTTTTTTAAATGCCCTGAGGGTTCAAGCGTACCCAGGTACCAAAACTAAAAATATATAAAAATCCGTATCTCACGACCCAGCATGAGAATAAATAGCGTGATAGCAGTTCACCTACCCAACGTCACCTAACTCAACACCTCCCCTAAAGTTCCTCCCCTTATTAGAAAATAGGAGATCGGTCCCAAGCAGGATTCGAACCAGCAACCCGAAGAAGACCAATCGAAGGATCCATCCACTTGGCCATCACAGCACAATACGGAATTTTCTCTTTAGAAAGTAACTGCAGTATACTACGAAATGGTACGCATTATCTGATGCTCTCTCCTTCACGAGTCTCACGAAATGTTTTTCTTACGAAATCAAAGCTAAAAATGCAAATCGAGCTAAATTATGCGAACAAACAAGCTACTTTTATGGTCTGCAGCAACGCCTCTCTCCCCATGTAAATGCAGTCATCTCGAACCGATAAACATCGTAAAATTCAATCCGGCATATATAAACGAGCGGACGTGGCATCCGCATCTACGTACAGCCGACACAAACAGCCGACGTCACAGCCACAGCCGACGCCACAACAAACGATCGAACCGAATCTCGCCAGCGATTAAACTCGCATTTCACTGACCAGGGTTGGCTCCCTCCCGGAAGGCGATGTGGAGGTCCTTGTACTGGATGAAGTACTGGACGTGCCCCATCTCGTGGTGGACGGTCACGAAGTCTTGCATCGTCACGTCCGTGCATTGCTTGATCCTACGAGGGCAGCAACATTTTCACTCTCATTTTGACGTTTCTTTCAGAACAGGCTGACATGCTTGGGAATTCGCTTCCATTGAGTGAATTCATTTGGGACTATGCTTTCATGAGGTGATTACTCCGCTTCGAAGAGTGGTTCGCTCCTTTCACTTCATCCTTGGTAATTACGCGATTGCAAGAGTGGACATCACGGTGATGGTGAAGACTACGTTATAAAGATCCAATTTCCCCGTTTTCCGGAAATGCCTGGCTGATTTTTTGCATTCAAAACTTTCCAACCTTGTTAAAGTCCCCCTCCTTGCGCCACTTTCTCCAGAAATTTCAAGTACTCCCCAGTACCTTTATCAGTACCTCGTGGCAAAAATATACGAGAGAAAGCGAGACAGAAAATCGTGGCGTGCTTTCTACTTCCAAGCAGCTGTCGTTCCCATCCCCCTCCCCGAATAACAATAACAATAATTTCATCATTTATAATAATGAGGAAGCGTGAAGTACCTGAAGTCCTTGGCGTCGCAGAAGTCCCAGGCGGACGCGTGGCAGATTATCTGCCGATCCGCGGGCTTCTCGATGATCGAATGGTTCCAGAACGTTTCGGGCATCGGGCTCAGCCCCAGGGACGTGAAGAACTCCTCGGCCGTCCGGAACATCCTCTCCGCCGTGTAATTCTGAACAATTTTTTGCATTTATTAAAGTGCCCTCGACGTGGGAGTTCCTTTGCCGATTACAAATAAAGAATCGTGATGGCCTTTCCCCGTGAACTTTCGCAATGGAATGGGAAGAATGGACCTATTGTATAATATATCCAAAAATGGTGCTAACGATCTTCCTTTGCTCATCCTATACCAACTTTGGATGTACGACATCTCCTTGAAATTCTTAGCATTCCAGGAATGAAGGAAGTGGATAATGACCTGTTCTTGGAGTGCAGGTGTGAGATCCAGGGCCGGCTTCTTCTTGAAGGGTCGGAGGGGCCGCTGAAGGTTGCTCCAATTTTGGGCCCACATGTTTCCTGATTAAAGATAGAAATTTTTGGTGACCTTTCCGTGCTTCCGCGGTCGATTCACGGACGACGGGGTTCCTGGGAACGACGTCGGAATGCTCCGTTTTCAACAGGTTTTGCGAAATTCTCTTTTTTTTTCCCCTTGCGAATGCCTGTTTCCTCCTTTTTCCCCTTGCCCTTGCATGGGATACTTTCGCCAGGGTTTTCCTAACACATTTCAGCTATCTTTTCTTTCGTATTGAAAAAAAAACATCCCGACCTCCCGCTTCGCAAATCCTTCGGAAACTGGGGGAAATAACCCTGAAACCGGTTTTTCAACGGTTAACGATCCTTTGGTCCCATGGACTTTTACGGAAGGAAAAGGAGCACTTTAGCTTAAAAGCTACTTTAAATCCCTAAATGAGGTTTCAGCATTCGACCACAAATCTCGCCATGTCTTCGGTCTTCAAAATTCCATTTAAAAATTCGTTCTTCCTAGGCAATGCCACGATTGCATCCTCATTTTACAAGAATTTCCTCTAACACTTGGAAGCTGCTTAGGTCGAAAGAATTGGCTAGTTTTTTTTTTCCGGACCAAAGCTGACCTGTCTCAATTCAATCATTAACCCATTAGAATCGAGCTCAAATTTCTTCAGAAGCATTGCCTAGCACAAAAAGGATGTCTTTCGATGAAATTCAGCAATCATTCGATAACCAACAACTCCTTCGAAACGAAACGACCTCGCAAACGAGTCCCACAAACGACGCGACCTTGCGTGCATCCCTTGGACCCAGCAACACCCCGGGCTCCCTCCCCGGAAATCCTTCCCTAACAATATGCCTTCATCAGATCAGGAAATACAAACGCCAGCAATCCGGAGCGATGATTCACTTCCTCTTCTTCTAATGCGTGGGAATAATACCCAAATTTCAATGTAATTTCAATGCATACTCGGGGAAAATATTTTTACATTTATTTTTTACTCAATTTATTTATTATTATCTAGTACAGTAATTGGTTTATTTGTTATTATTTATTTATTTTTTTATTGACTTTTGGTTTTTATGCTTCATTTCCTACTTTGTACTTCGATTTATGAAGCACGTATTCGTCAGGGCAGACACACTTGGATCCCTGAACCCTCCGGGGCGGTTTCGAACCATATATGATTCGTATAAAATTGTGCCCATTAGGGTAGAAATCCCGTCGCGAGCTGCATCGTCAGAGGTTAATGCCATGCAGCCTGCATTGTTTCGGTCTTACACAATCGAAGAAAAGGTGGGAAATGCGGGGGGGGGGGGGGACAAAAGGGGCAGGGGCGGAAGGAAGGCGAAAGTGTCGAGGCCTCGAATTACAGGTGCGACCTGTCATTCGAGGACGGCGACCTGTCACTCGAGGACAGCAACCCTTATCCAGACTCGAGGACCGCGAGGAAATGCATATTGTAACAATTGACTGTCGGGCACAGAACCATCAGTTGGAGACTCTCTCGCGTTCTGCATGATTCCATCGGTAAAACAAAAAATAACATAATTTGAAATATCAGAATTTTGATTCCGCTACGGACGACGGAGGAGTTTCTTTACGATTTCTGTTAAGTCTCAGTAAAAAGTTACGGCTACAGTTGCTTCTATGTTACCAAACCATCTAGTAACTAGACCAGCCTTCCTCTTTCATTTAATAGGCATTGCCTTTTTTTTAACCCGAGAAAGCAGAGCCTTTTGAAGGAATCTGAAGTGGAAGGGGGCATTCCCCCTAACCCTTTCTAAAAAAAATAATTCAACTTGACCTTTCTCCTTTCTGCATGCACTGGTAAGTTCCTTCATCGTCTCGTCGTGACTGGTTACGAGCCGGTTCTCGGTTCCCACCCTCTCTATAAGAATTGTGCCTCTTACCGAGCAGATGAGCGGGGATGGGTCCATCGGCCGAGACCTTGTCCTCTCCGTACTTCTCCCGCAGCTTCCGTCGGACATAGGCGTGCAGCTGTTCGTACAACGGCCGGACAGTCTCCCACAGTTCTGCCACTTCCTCCTCGAACGTCTCCGACTCGTATGGTCGACGCCAGTATGCTCCCATGTCCGAGAACCCTATCGAGGAATCAATCGCTCTAGAGTTTGGTCGTAATTAGACAAGACTGCTCGGCGGGCGCAATCATTAACCCTTTAATGCATGACGTAGCAGATATGCTACATTCCAAATTTTAAAAAATTTCGAATGCGTAGGTAGCGAGCTCTATCAGTAAGTAGGTTCTTGGCGGATGTTGCGGCCGTCCAGTCCTTGTACCTAGTACCCCAACGGTCGCTATGTGCCCTACACTCCTGGTGGCAAACAAATTAACACTCTTGCTGCCGAAGGCGACTCCAGTCGACTCGAGTCGCTTAGCAACGGTAAGACAGTAAGACTGTTAATAACACATGGCTTCGTCGTGTGACAGACTGACGTAGTTGGTACAACTATTTTCAACTTTACGTTAATCCAGAGTCCAGGTTCTTCCATATTTTTATATTTTCTTTTGCAGTGAGGTATGTACACAATTTTAACGGATCGATCGAGCTCTCTAGCCTCCATGCAGCATGGGTTAAAAAGCTGAAAATGTTGTTAGCAGCAAATGTGCAACAATTGCACATTTACAAAATGCACATTACAAAATGTGCATTTTCAGGCTTATTACTTACAAATTTGAAGAATCAAAATTTCCCCCACTTTTCCCGTGTTCTAGGACCTAAGTAAAACCTACCAGATTTTTTTCGCCGAAAAATAAAAAATCATGCATTAAAGGGTTAACGAGGATCGCATTCCATAGAGAGACGCGATGCCGCCAAGCACGCAATCGATTTACGTCACGTTCGTGTCCGCCGGTCCCTGGGGCTTCAAATACCGCAGGATTCCTAATCTGACATTTCATACCAGCAAAACCTCCTAGGTCTATTTTTTACTTTGCAGAAAATCGATTCTCCATGAACTCGTGAGTGGGGAAGGGGAAGCCATTAGCCTCGGTAACGAGATGAATACGCGTGTCGAATTCCCTCGTGCCATGCCATGCAGACTCTCAAGCATACCATGAGATGCCTCACGGGTGAGGCGAGTCCTCTCGCTCCCTGGGAGATGATCGCCATATGGGGCGTCAAGTAGCGAGATTCTCACGCCTCCAGCCCCAGTGAATAAATTATGGGCTTGGCTGCCCTAACCCTCGGTCGACATAAAGTGTTCCACGTGAAAGCCGACGGCTTGTAACCAGATAAGTAAGCCACTCGAAAATTCTCGGGATCTGCTCGAAGACAAAGCTCCTCCTACCTTGCGCCTCCAGCGTAAAGAACGGGGGAAAGAGATGGAGAAACGAAATCCTCCCGAAACGACTATTTGCGGGATCCCCCGGTCATCGCCGGGGGAAGGTGGCGAAACGGAACAACGCGAAATGGAACGAGTGTCTGACCGACCGTGATCATTTCATCACACGGGCCGAACATTATCGCGTCTATTTTATATGAATTATGCACGCCCGTAGCAGCAAACGCGTCATTATAGAATACATAAATCAGCCGAGGATCAGCCAGCGAACGGATTAAACTATCGATAAAATAAATTTAAATAAAAAATTAGCGAGCAAAAGAATCAATCTTGCGAGAGGATCGACTCGTCCCTGGTCAAGGTCGGCCAGAAATCCACGCCACTCGTGGCGCCCCCCCCCCCCCCCCCCCCCCCCCCCCCCCCCCCACACCTATTTGCATAAGTGCCACCATCTCCTGTTTGTCGGTTCTTGGCAACTCAACCATATCTTTCTTCATCAGTCCCATAATAGCTTAGCGACCACTGTTTCTTAATTTTTTTTTTCCGAACCGATGTGAAACGCGGATCACGAAGATGAGCGGCGTGGAATAAATTCCTCCGGGTACAGATGTTCATACCACTCGGAAAATAAAAAACAAAGGGTCACGAATTCGAAGACGTATGGAAGGAGAACACAAGGTCGAATTCGTCATGATTCTTTCACCTTTTTTATGCACGATTGGGAAATTGAATCCTTCCTGTTCCTGTATTTTTGTAGCATTCAGAATTTATATTACTTTATTTCTCAAACAACTTGTTGGCTTTTTTTTCAAATATGATAGTTGACTTTTTAAATGTAGAAATCTCCCATCGACTGATTTGTTGTTGCTTCTCCCGCAGCTTGCAAGAGTGACTCCCCATTCTCCTTGCATCATGCAGAGCGCATATTCCACTTCAATTGAAGCTCTTTGAGAAAGGAGATTCCTTGAGGAAGGGAGCTCCTTGAGGAAGGGAGTTCCTTGAGGAAGGGGGGCCCCTCCCGAGTAGCTCATTACTTCAGCCTTGACCACGTTTATCAGTCGCGCGGCTGATTATCTGGTCATCTGACCTGGGAATCTTTTATGGCTCGAATGAATGAATTTTCTTTTTTAATATTTTAGATGAAAAATGTGATTGTCCCCTAATTGAGAAAAGTTGGTTCTAAGCTACGAAACTTTCAACGAGCCATTCGGAATAGAAAATGGGGGGCCTGGGGGGGGGGGGGGGGACGACCGTTAGGGGCCTGTGGGGGGGCTTGATGAAGATGAATATTATCTTACTGATAAGTCATAGTTCAGAGCCTCTTCTCTAATGGAAATTTTTTTTATAGCTGCTTCCAGTGTGGATTTTGATGATGTAAGAAAGGAGATCGCTGTGCAACACGGTAGGCCTTGACAGCCCGTAGCCGCGGGGATCGCTGTCTTATCTTTCATTTCTTTCTGAACTGACCTAGGCGGAATCAGATAATTTCCTCCCTGGCCTCAAGAGCAAGCAGCCTCAAAATGGGAATGTAAAGAGGGACTCGAGTCCCTGTCCCGAGTCCCAAAGGGAGAGGTGATTCCCGACCGTTTTGGACATTTCACTGTCTGGGTGTTCGGTTCGCGTCGTTTCATCTGCATTCAATGCTAGTGTAATGAAATGCTCGATTGTATGCAGTGAGACAGAAAGTGGTTCGGCTCTTCCGTCGTTGCGCAAAGTTGCATGCTGATAACCGCCGGCTAATCCGAAGGCGCCCGGGTCCCCTTACTGGAGTGGACACGGAACAGATCGAATGAAAGCCAGGAGAATTCTTTCGGCCCCGCATTTCCTTTTCTCGCGTCTGCAGCACGCAGGATGCGGTCTCCCATCCCAAGAGGATGTTACATGTCTTGTGCATCGTGTCACGAGGAATGACCCAGGCATAAAGGCCATAACCTTTTGCACACGCGCAGGATATCGAGGATATTTCTGCTCGAACTCAACGCCCTCACGCACCACAAAGCCTGTCAGTCTAACGAGCCCCTATCTCTGTCCTTTTTTTTTTACAGGCAGAATTTACATAAAGACCTCGTATCATCGAAAACAGGGAATCGTCGCCTAAAAGCCTCACACACGCACGATATTTATCTCATCATAAAACTTTCCACTTTCACCGATTCGTCCCGATTGAAAATCCCAAGCTTGGAATGTGGAAACAGAGCACCTGCCTAACTCCTAATGGATTTCTTCCTCCCATTACCGGTTTACCCCAGCCACTAATCCTCCTCGCAACCGCTGGGAACGCTTGCCACAGCGGGACGAGTGAATGAGTGGATGAGTCCTCCACCTGGATGAGCTCTCCACGTGGATTCCCCTGCGTGGAATCGACTTTTTTCCCCCTTTTCCACTGTCGCAGGGAGATCACTTAATGAAGGGAGATGTTATCAGATGAATCCGGTTCCCCCCTCTCGCTTGGCCTTCGCTGGGGTCTTAACGATGGCGCGTTTCCTTCCTCGTCTCCCACCCACTTGACCAATGTCAACCGTCTCGTTAGGGTGACGTCATCCCTCCAGAATCCTTGAGATTCTCGGGGAAATCTGTCGACGCGATCCGGATGCGTTCGAGTCTCCCGAAAGAATCGGATTTCGTGGAATCTGATGTCGCGTATTCTCTTGAGTTCCGAGCATTTTCCCCAAAATAATTTTTTTATTAATATCAAATTAATTTTATTAACATCAAATTTATATAAAATATTGAACTGTATAAATGTATTTTTATGTCGGGTGTACCGCTTTGGTTTTCTTCGAATTCATCGAGTGGTTCGCCTGATTTTCTTCGCGTGACAATACTTGAGGAAAATTGGATTTTCCACTCCAATCAATAAACACTGAACAACAGATGAAAACCAAAACGTCTCAGGATCTGTTACAGGATATGCACCAGAGTGGGAAACTGGAAACAGAGCTGGGGAAGTCCATTCCGAGAACTAGCTCCCCTTGAGTGTCGCTCAATTATATCTAGAGGAAATATCAAGGACACGCACGAAGGTGAGATGCAGCGGGCGGATCCCCGGCTTTGGCTTTCTTGGGCTTTCTGAATCTAGATCAAAGCCATCTGGTATTTTATAATTTTCTTATCGGAATAAAGGCCTTCGAAGGCATCGTCAACATTACTCTTAGCGTCGATAGTATCAAGATTAGGGTAGCAAGGGGGGAAGGAGAGGGCAGGGAGGGGGTAAATGAAGGAGTAGAAGGAAAAAAAATTAGGAATGAGGGGGGGGGGGAGGTAGAAATCCAAGATTCGAAATACAGATAGGCAACGGGATAAACAAAGTTTCAATACTGTCATACCCATACAGGATGTTTCTAGACCGAGATTCCGATCTGAGTTCCACGAGGCAACGGGTCGGGCACTGTGCTGCTCGGCTACTGAAATCGCGCTTGTCTCTCGTTATAGCGCTCCGATCTGAGTTCCACGAGGCAACGGGTCGGGCACTGTGCTGCTCGGCTACTGAAATCGCGCTTGTCTCTCGTTATAGCGCCACAACCACGATCCGCTAATACCATAATTTGTACAAGCATCATTGGGTCTGTCCCCGCCAAGTGGTCCAAGGATTTTAGCAGGAAAGTTCCCCAAATATGCAAATATTACTTTCGCTGCAGAAGTTCATCTCTTTTCCCAGATGGCTTGAATGAAGGAGAATATTACAGGTACATTGAAAAATGAAAGAATTAGTCATGATCATGATACATTATTCATACCACTCTCATGATACTCATAGATGTGATGAAAATGTAAATCTGGAGAGACTGAATTGGACTACTGGAACAGATGCCAGCATGGGTTCTCCATGCATCAATTTCCATATCCAATTTTAAATCAGCTCAGGTGTGAAGAGTAGATGTAAATTGTTCACACTTGAATGATATCTTTAAAATAAAATTAAAAGATATGAAAATCGTTTCAAAATATATATTCAGAACATGTCACATCCGAGACTCTCCTGTCACATCCGACACGGTCACAAAACAGACTTACTTTCTGTTTCAAGTGTTGTAATATTGGGGTGACTTGCACTAATTCCAGGCTTTCATTTAATCTATAGAATGAACACGAAACTAAATTATTAGGGTCCGCTCGATGGCAGATGTGTGAGCATTAGGGCAAGTGACTTTAATTTGAGGTTTCATGAAATTTCACGTCTGACACCTCTCTTTGCACATAAGTACACCTCTAAGAAAAGAGAGTGCAAGACTTAGGATTATGGAAATTTCAATCACTACCTAAAGCAAATTGTTGCAGCCTTTATATGATGATATCTATAATATAGTTGAATACATTTTGTATAACTAAACATATTACTCCGAATGTCACTCCGACACGGAGGACAAACCCCATTATTTCCACAAAATCCCGAGTTTGCGTCAAGCAGCATGCGCGCCACGACCATTTTCTGGTATTAAACGTAGCTGGATGTTTGTTGTCACCGGAGAGATGACTCATTGCCGTGAAATGGATAGCGTACAGGACAAGGATAGAGAATCGAGAGGTCGAAGGGGTCAAAGGATGGCAATATAAGTAATACATCTATTTAGTCAAATTGACCTTCGGAGACATATCCATCATTGCTCATAGGTTCGTTCGATACGGCGCCAAAATCGGCGACGACCGACGGTAGCGTCGTATCGAGGCCTCATCGAAGGCAACACCGTCCCGGAGATCCTAGTTTTCCTCCGTTCGAAACGGACTCGGACGCCGAGGGGAAGGGATTAATCACCAAATTAGCAATTAACATCCTGGGCAACGTTCAAATAGACCTAAGATATGACATGCGAAGTGCCCAACCGTTGGCCTTGGCGGCCTCGTTGTTGAGGCGGACGAACTCCTTGTACATCCCCCTCATCTTCTTCCCCGACACGTCCCTCCACTGCTCCCAGATCCACTGGAGCTCCTCGTAGCGGCGGACGCGTGCCATCTTCCGCTCCAGCTCTGAAGAGGCAAGCGGCGAATGAGCGGATTCTGAGGGATTTTCGATTTAATTATAATTATTTTTTTATTTTTTATCAGTTGACTATTTACATTGCCCGTCTCAAACAAGATGCAAGCTTGGAAGTAGTGTTGAATGAAAACTCTCTCCAATTTATTTTTGTTGACTAATTATTTGTGCCTTTTTAAATTTTAAGGTTGCATGTTTTGGGTTTTCCGTTTTTTTTTTTTTTTTTTGGGGGGGGGGGGGCTGAAATTCATGGAAACTCATCCGATACCCGACGGACCCTGACCCTCGATTTTACTGCACTTTCATTACGACGACGTTTTCGACTCGTGACGTCACGCGAATCAAGGCTCCATGGACTCTGCGACGTTTAGAGTCGTGCGAGGGGGTAGAACTCCAGGGCTAATGGAAGGCTGTCGCTGTCGCAAGACTCGCTTCGCAAATTCCAGATTACGGTAGACTCATTTCGCCATTTTTCGAGTCGGATAATAACGGCTTTACCCCTGCAATTTTCCATGTCCAGTCGATAATCACATCAGCACGCAGGGGGGAGTGGAGAGTCGTACAACTTCAAGGGTAACCAAAGGCCTTGCCACGGATTCGATTAGTGACGTCATCGTCCACTCGAAGTACTTGATTAAGTACTTAGTATGCATCCTCTGATGAGTTCATTAAACCCATCGAGACGCTAATCGCTTCGCTTGGGAAGCAAACACGGCAGGATGCCGTCCTCATTCGCATGGGGACGGACTTCTCATTATCTTTTGAACATTCCTGCTCCAGTGGGCATCCTTGTCCCAGGAATGTCCAAAGGGGTACAAGTGGATAAGCCATATGGCTGCATGCAAGCTCCGCTCTCCGGGCTGCCATCTCCTGGGAGAAACGCGAATCCCATGCTCGTTTTGCTGCTCCATACAGCTTGCAGAATATCAGGCACGGACGTGTAGCAATGTAGCAGAAAGAAGTTAATTAATCGAGTTCCCTTCAAATTAATGGACGCCATCTTTTTTTGTCATTCCGTGAAGAAAAAAGAAGAAATATTCAGTTTCAGACCGGTTTTTCGACGTCTGGGCGGTGCCGACCTTGAGGCATCGGTCAGACTCCACGGAATCTATTAAGATGAGGTCTGAGAGCCGATTGGAACTCCATTAATCTCCAATAATCATTGATCGCGATTAGAGTTAATCGTCCTTTTCACATCATCTAGTTAGTCCCCTTTAAAGACAATCGAGGAACTACATTCGAGTAATTCCAGGAAATTTTTGGCTTCGAAAAGGATTGGCCTCTTTCACAAATGAAGATATGCCAAATTCCATTACTGCATGCCCGACATTTTGCAAAGGACACAACGAATTGCGGTGTTCCCGCCGAATCGACGCAGAAACTTCGTGCCATCAGGTTTCTGACGGAGAACATGCCGCCAGTCGTTTTCAACCAATTTTCCTACCCATATTCCTTGTCTGAAACGGGAAAGAGTTGAAATTACATGAATTTGGTCCTTTTTCACGTTCTACATTTGCGGCTTGAAATACTAGAACAAATGGAACCAAAGGCACTCATAGCTCACTGTTGATTTATGGTTGTGTTATCAAGACTCCAAATGTCCAAATTTGGTCAAATATTTCAAAGTAAAAATGGTAACGTCACTGCAAAATAAAACATGCAACCTTAAAATTTAAAAAGGCACAAATAATTAGTCAACAAAAATAAATTGGAGAGAGTTTTCATTCAACACTACTTCCAAGCTTGCATCTTGTTTGAGACGGGCAATGTAAATAGTCAAATGATGAAAAATAAAATATATAATAATAATAAAACAGATCAAACTGGTTATTTACATTTAAGTTGTTGAAATGTAGCTCTCATTGCTATTGGTTAATATTGTATAGTCCGTTGTGTTAGCATTTTTTCCCCACTGTTTCAAATAAGCAAAATTTGGAAAATTTCCGCTCTTTTAAAAGCATACAACTTTTTCGTTACAAGGAAAGAAAAAAAACACCAAGTTAAATGTGCTTCCCTGCCTCGACAATTGCCAAGGGACAGCGGGCGTTTTCCAGCAGAACGAGCCGAAGGAGACGCCCGCTCGGCAAAGGCGACGTAACAAAGGGACTTTCAAGGTGCACTGCACCTGCATCTCCTAGAGGGGGCACGCCGTGGCGCGTGTCATCAACGTGTGCTGGGTGGATCGCCTGAAGGAAAAACCAATGGAGACCTACCGGGTCTCGTCATTGTCTCCCTGGCGCTAATTTTACGAAAAAGCTCGTGCAAAAAGTTTTTGCCTTTTTCAATCGAAAATGTGTCATTCGCCTGCAACACAAAGCAAGTTCAACACGTGGATACCGTTTTAATTCGTTCCCTTTTTCATTTTGCTCCATTATGAAAGCGTTGCATTGTCCTCGGTTCCCACGGACCGAACTCGAACAAGAATGGTAGCATTTAATTTAAAAAGGCGAAGAAGGCCAGTGGGTCTCGACCGGAGCGATTCGCACAGCAGGCTCCCGCTCGCAGGGGTCAAGTCCATGCACTCAAGGGGTGCACGGGTCGAGAGTCCGACATGGCACGAGGAGGACCCGAGGACCTCGAGGAGGAGGAGGGGGGAGGAGGACCTCGAGGAGGACTCACCCGTGTAAACTTGTCGTCGGGGAGGACAGCCGTGCCGAGGACGGAGAGGGACTTGAAAAGCCTCTTCAGCTCAGGGTCTTGGAATTCTCGCCACTTGAAGGACGTTGCGTTCTTCCACGCTTCCTTCTGGAAGTGCGCGAATGACAGCTTTTCCAACAACTGGGGGAAAGAAAGACGATTCAAGGGGTGAAAACAAAATGACGTCACGATTTTTAAGCCTCCGAGGCGTTTTTAAAATGATGATTCCCCTTTCGCTGTCTCTGACAAATCTCGTATAAATCAGGGGGCGTATGGCCGAAAGATGAAAAATGAAAACTTCGAAGATCCTGATTGGATATTTCGAAATCGGGGGCATGTTCTCATCTGAGGAGCCTTCATTCCATTTTTTTTTTTTTACGGCAAGGGCAGCGCCTGGATAACACCCGGCGGAATACAAATGCCGTGATGTAAGACAAATTATCATGAACGATAATTGCCCGGTCCGGATCACAATACTAACGGGAAAGAGGTGAAAGTGATTGCCCTCACCCGCTCATTCATTTTTCACTTTTTTGTTGTTGCATTTTTGCATCCTCGGCTCATCTCCCACAAATCCGTGGCTTATCCTTATAAATCCCCGAGGATGAATATTTCCCCCAGCCGTCACGTTTCGCAGTTTCCTCAAATTACAGGCTCTCAGCGCCTGATGAATACCCAGGTTGCAACAATATTTTACGAGCCTGTTCTCCAATGACAGGGCGGAGAAAGCGATCTCTCATGGGGCCTATTTAGCAACGTCATAATTAAGTAATTGCCTTGGAGCGGCCGTGACAATATTGCGTTATCATTGTCAAGCCGCCTTTTCCCTCAAACATTTTCACAAACTTCTGCGAATCGTGTAAAATCACAATTTTCGATCGTTTTTATGGAATTAAATTGAAATCACGTTTATTATTATTTTTATTTGATGAAATCTGGAAGACCAGAGGAAAGAAAAATACTCACAGCTGCCTGGCGATTGCCTTCGGTGAGATCAGAGGCAAAGGCCCACTGGGCGCGAACGTTTCGATTGCACTGCTCAGACGCGGCGGCGTCGTACACTTTCACGAAAGATCGAGCAGCTTCCTCGTCTGAGGGATTTGGATTCGTGGCTTTTGGGTCTTGAATTTCGACGGAGGTCGCGGGGAAGGCGAGGAGGCATGATAGAAAAATAGCGCTTGGGAGCGACATGGTTGTTTCTCCCGTGCGGTCGCTCCACTGACTGACGGGTTCCTGCTTCTCGCCTGGGGGAAACCTCGAAGGAGAGGGCGCTGCGGAACCTCCCGCTCTGCGGGGTCCTCGGGGTCCGACACGAGATGCGGTGCTCGGCGGGAACGCGGTGCCTCTCGATGGAGGACACCTCTATTCCTCTGTTTCCCCTGCTCGCACTTAGGCCACGCCGCGGCGGAAGAGCCGTACGTTGAAGGCGAAAATGTTGATCTTCCTGCTTTCCGATTCGAAAGTCTAGTGCTCTATCGGGGAGCTTTGCATGAACACACAGACTCCCGGAGTGCACACTCTGGGGCCTTGCAAACATCCCGGCCTTGCAAATTCCTCTTTCCGCAAAAGCTCACCCATTCACGACGTTAAATTTTACAAAATAGGATAAACTGGACGAGACGATTTGCCAGGACGGTTCCTTTGTTGGCTGTTATGGAATTGAAATCGCCTCCGACGAACTCATTTCACGAAATTCTTCTTGATTTTATTCGATTCGCCCCTCGAGAACGTGAACTATTTCGTCCTTGGGAACGCGAGCGGGCGACTCCCTAATTAGGATCCGCATGGACCTATTCTGGAAAAGGCACGCGACCTTCCAGGCAAGACGAATTTATCATTTTCGCAGCGGATAATTATCATGCATGTATTATTCCCGCGATGGGGAGAAGGGAGGGGATGGGAAAAGGGGGACATGGTCAATGGCCGGGGGCTTTCCTCGGTCGTTTCCCAGGCTGACTCAGCTGTAATATAGATGGATGAAGGAGAAAGAAAAGGAGAGATGCATTGCATTTCGATCAGCGTCCACGCCTCCGATAGCACGGGGCTTTCTCACGGAAGAAGGGTGGAAAGCGGAGGATGGAGGATGGAGGATGGAGCATGGAGCATGGAGCACGGAGGGGGGAGGATGGAAGATGGAGGATGGGGCATGGGGGGGAAGCGGTAGGGGGGTTTCCACCTTCGGGAAATGAGGTCAACCAGGAACACCCAAATGTATGGGGTCGCTCAGGAACGCCCATTTTTATGGGGAGATTATCATTTTCATGTTTCTCCGACTTAATCGGGTGAAAGCGTGGAAAAAGAAAGGGAAGATAAGCAACTGGAATGGACGTTGACTGGGAACAGCAGGAGGAGCAGATGGCGTTATTGTCAATAATTCAGGGGAGAATCCACGTTTTCCTGGAATCTTCGAACTCGAAGGCTCGCGCCAATCATTCACCCTTGAAATCGCATTTCGTTCTCGTTCGTGAGATTTCACTTCCCTGACCCTCGCGGGAAGTGGAACTAAAATTGAATTCGTCGCCAAGTAAAATCGACTCCGTCACCAAGAAGTCACGATCTCACCACCAGACTCAAGATGAACTCCAAATTCTCCCTCAGCATTTCCACCAGATGCCACGAAACGACCGCTAAATCTCGACCCGCCACCAAATAATCCTGTGACTTCCCGGAATCCCCAATCAATCTTGCAAGCATCTCACGATCTCGCTTGGCCACCACAAGTTCCACCACAAGTCCATCGCTCGGATAAATGTCTGCTCACGACGATAACCACCGAAACAGCGTGCTGCGAGAGAAACGGCGCGAATTCAGTCAACCGAGGCTGA